TTGTTGCTGTTGTTGTTTTTGGTTGTCGGAATCGAAATTATCCTCATTCAATCAATTTCAACCATTTGATCAATGACTTTTGCATTCTGGTAAAAACAACAAAATCTTTTGACCAGGTAAAGTTATACAAGTGAAGTTTAATATCTCTTCCTTTTTTTTCATCAATGTTTCTATGTTAATCCATTTTTTTCTGACTTGTGATTAATAATTAGTCGATTGATGATGCATTGATGCCAGCAGCATCAGTCAAACAACTACAACATTATTTATTTTCCTCCCATTTTTCTGTTCCTATATCAACCGATAATAACTGGATAATAATTGGTTTTTTTTTGGTAATATTAATCGATCAAAAAACGGACAGTGAACATGAATGAAAAAAATGAAATATCCATAACATTACTATCAAGTCAATCTGGTTTTCTTTTCAACTATAGAAAATACCAGAAAAAAACATTGCCGCCAATAGCAACTTAACAAACATCCAATCATTTTTTTCATTTTGCTTTATTGAGAAATTATTATTTTTTCGTTTCGTCCTTGTTTGCCTGCTTAATGTTGTGATGTCCATTCAAACAAATACATAAATGCATTTCAAATAGTAGGTTGGTATTTTGATCATCGAATCATTTTTTTTTCTGTTTCTGATTCGTATATCGATGTTTTAAAAAAGAAAATGCTTAGTTTTTTGGTGAATTGTAAAGTATACAATCGGTCTATTTCGATCCGGTTGGTTTGGTTTGGTTTTAGCTCAACAGGTTGGTTGTTAATTATCATCATCATTATCATTATGTGAAAAAAAATGTTGCTGTTGTTGAATAACAGGCAACAGGTATTATCTGTTTAGCATCTCTTAGCATCAACATCATATATCTTGTCATTCACATCATCAAAACATTATTGTAAAACGACGATAAAAAAAAATATTATTATTATTATTATAGTACCATACACACAGAGTGTTATTTTCAAAGCAGTTTTTCTTTTATAGTTCCTATCTTAATCTTGATATTTTTCATCTTTATGTTTGAATGTAATGTTTGAATGAAGGAAAATAAAAAACATTCCATCCATCAATCTTTCTTTTTCTTATTTTATATCGACGATAATGATATTATGATGTAAAAAGATGTAGTTTTTTTTCTGTATTTTGTATTTTGTATGGTATTTGGCCTTTGGCTAAGGCGCCAAATTATTATTATTATTGTTGTTGTTGTTAGTTTGATGATGATAATAATAATAATAAAAATAACCCTAACCGAAAAGAAATAAAATAAAATTTGATTTGAAAAAAAAGTAAAAGAAAAGTAAGTAACTTTGATCAGAACAACAACAACAACAAACACATCCTGTTTTATAATCTTGTGTTTTTTTATAAGTTGAATAAAAAGGGGAAGAAAAAATGATGATGTTTAAAATAGAAACAACAATAATAAATTTTATATGATAATTAATCGTTTGTACGGGCATCCTTCGGTTATTATCCATTTTGTTTTTTGTTTTTTTGTTTTTCTTGATTCATTCATTCATCAATTCATAATGTATTCCAAACGAAAAAAAGAAGAAACAAAACAAAAAAAATTACAAAATTATAGAAATAATTACCACCCTTTACATTCAACAGACAACATATATTATCATTTTTTTGGAAAGAAAGAAAAAATTTGAAAAAAAATGTTCAACATTTCAAAAAAATGATAATTTAATTTAAAGCGAACCATGTGTCGCCATCTATTGTCTGATTTATTTATTTAAAAAAATATTTTGTTACCGAATGGGCACGATAATAATGATAGACTTTCACTTATTGAAGTTGAAAACGAATAACAAAAAAACGACAAAACATGCTTATAAATTATGTAAAAACATGGAATTTACATGATTTTTCTTTTCTCTATTTTGGTAAAAATTTCCTAGATAAACAACAATGAATGAACGAAAATAAATCAGGTACACTTATGATATCTGATCTGATCTGAATGTTCATTCTTTAAATGATGGGCGTTTGATTTACTTTTTGACATGTAAAAAAACCAGAAAAAAAATATTTGTCAAAAAATTATTTAATGGGGAGAGAGAAGAATAAACAATGTTACCACCATAATTTGTTTGAATTTCAATTTGTCTATTACCCAGAGAAAACATTCTTTCATTCTCGATTCTTGATTCTCATTCATTCTGCTTTCAAAACCAAAAAAAAAGGAAAAATCAAACAAAGAAGAAACTTTTTGTTTGAAACACACACAAAAGAAACAAATTATCCATTGCGTTAAACAAAATTTCCCTACAAAAAAAAAAGAAAATAAAAAACATTTAACAAAACACAAAAGGAAGGAAAGAAAAAAAAATCTATCGAAAGAGATCCATTACGGTCCATTCAATTCATTCATTTTCGTTGATGGATTTAATGATGATGATGATATTGTGAATAGACAAACAACAAAAAAGACAAGAATTCTTTGTCTTCCTCCTCGATTCTTTAATTTGTATCATAATCTTTGTGTGTGTGCGTCGTTTCAGAATGAAAAGAAAAAAAATCGATCGCAATGGAATTCATCATCATCGCTAATTTTCCATCCCTAGTGTAACCAGAAACGAAGCAAACAAATTTTTGTCAAAGGTTCCGATTCAATCTCCCTCTCATCATAATCAATGATTTTTTTTTTGTTAATGTTATTTTTCGTTATTTTTAAACAGAGAAAAACAAAAATATTTTGACAATAGAAATTGGATTCAATAGAATCTCAACAACAACAAAAAAAAAGTTAATCAAAAAAGGGAAAAAATCTAGTTCCATTGAAAAATACCAAACATTCTATCGGGTTACCCATCATATTGGTAGAAAGTGAATGAATGTTTTATTTTGGAAAGAAAAAATTTTCCAAAAAAAAACTTGTTTCGATGTTGACTCTGTTTGTTTGTTGTTAGCTTCTCTTCAATCCAGAATTCCGGTTTGTTTCGGATAATCAACCAACCAAAAAATTTTAACTAGAAAAAAAATTTGGGTTGCCAAAGCAGCAGCAAATAACCAGAAAAAATATAGCATTTTTTTAAAAAAAAAGATCAGCTGCAGTAGATCAATGTCATAACAGCCACAAACATTTACCCAGCAAAAAAACACTGAACTTAGCCTATGTCTTTGGATTATTGTTTTTGGTTCAATAGTGATGATGGTATTCCATACACCATCTACTATCATCTAATTTTATCATTTTTTTTCACTTCCATGTCAGTTTCATTGTCTATATAATCATCATCTCCATTAAAACATGTATGCAATAAACGGCAATGGCCGTTCAAACAAAAATGCAATGAATATGAAAATCCCGGCTTTTTGTCGGGTTTTTTCTTCTTTTCTTCTTTTATCTTTTCTCGGGATGTTTATGGCTTACAGCAATGGAGTGGAAAAAAGCCTAAAGAGCATGCTCATTCCTAGAATTTTCATTTTTTTCTTCCTTACTAAGTTTTTTCCCATCTGTTTTTCTGGTCTTCTTCATCATGACGAGAAAAAAAAATGTTTTCTTCACTGCATTGCAATTGACTTGGCTTTGGTTTGGCTTGGTAATTCCATTTGGGAAAATATTTTCAAAGCACGGCTCTTCACTTTTATCTCACTCATTTTGCTATATATACCATATGCGAATCAAATAGGGAGACCAAAGAATTATAAAAAAAAAATTTCTTCTTCAAAACATTTTTACAATTTTCGCTTGTCAGTCAATCACGAATTTCTGAAGAAAAAATCTTTTCACCATAGAAAAAAAAGAAAAATGAAGAATACGAGCCTGCTCAGTCGATATAGTTGATGATCGATTCTTTCATTATCGTTAACTGACAATGATGACCGACCACTAGTAGTGGCTATATACACACAAACAGCCAAAATTGAATCAAACGGAATTCTTCATTTTACCAAAAAGAATATTCCGGTTGATATTCTCTTCTGGAACTCACTATATATAACTTGGTTGCTTTTTTCCTAGCTTTTCATCATCATCATCACACACACTGTCATCAGTGTGTTTGTGTTTCAAGAATTCGGTTTCATTTTCTTTCTCCATCAGTTCAGTCATTTTTTTCCTGTCTGAAAAAAAATTCTGGTTCAACGCGCATATTTGAGTCACGAAGAAAAAAAAATACCCCAGAACAACCAACCAACCAGCCAAAGAAAAACCCATATAATACAGACACATTTGCGTGGTAAAGATGATCGCGGAATGAAAAAAAAAATTGAACTTAACGAATAAAGTTTAACAACAGCGAAAAAATTCTTTCGATTTTTCTTCTTGAATGTGCGTGTGTACAAGATTCTTCTCTCTCTCGCTGTGTGTTCATTAAATTATTATTATTATTTTCATTTTTCTTCATCATTTTCAGAGAAAAACAACAAAATACGAAATTCTCATTGTTTTTTTCCTTGCTCGGTTCATTTTATAAATGAAGTTTTTTTTTATTTATTTATTTATATTTCTTATTCAACGTAATTCTCCTTTCTTTCTTCCATTATCAATGATGATTTTGATTTCTGTATTTTATAATTTTTTTCCTTTCCTGGATTTTTTTTCGTTTTTTTACCCTGGATTTTCCAGAATATAATAATTCTCATTAAACACACACACACACAATCACAAAACAATCACAATCAGCATCTCCGTCCAAATCGATCCACATTTTTTTCTAAATTTTCATCAAGATTTTCACCGAAAGAGAAAAATTTTCATCATTTCCATCATTACGAAGAATGTAAATGTTTTTTGTTTCTCATGAACTTCTAATTTGATTCTGAGTGCGTGTGTTTGGTTGTGGCCAATTCTTTTTTTTTTTTTTTTGGTCATCATTATTTATTTATCATCATCAGCCAGGAATTTGAAAACATCTTTTGATGAACATTTGATAAACTTACAATAAACTTTTACACGTAAAATGTTCGAAACATTTTAAATAAAACAATAATGTTCGATACATTTTCCGATCATCAACCAAAGATAATCATTCCAATCATTTTTCTCTATATTTTGTTTCCCAGTTTGTACTGCGTGATTGTGTCTTTAGTTAATTGAGTTTTTGTACCACCATTGAATTAACCGAATCGAAACAAAGCAAAACAAACAATCATCAGAAAAATCAACAAACAGACAAAAAATTAGATAAATAAATCAAACAAAACAAATGAAAATAATGATACAAAAATGCCTTGATAAATTTTTTGTAGTAAATAGTTTGATTTGTTTTGGTTGTTTGTTAATATTTCCTATTGTTTGTGTTCATCATTCTGCCATTGTCGATCAACAACAAATACCATCACCACCATTACCATCATTATCATCAAATTTGAATAATGAAACAACAACATCACCAATATGGTATCTAGATGGTACATCATCATCATATCTACAATTTCAATCATGGAAACATTTTTTCTATAGAAAAAATATCAACGATGATGATGAACAAAAAGAAGAATTATCGAATCAAGATCAAGCATCAATAAGTTTTGAATTTCGTTATCAATTAGATCAAAGTACGCTAAGTCGTCCATTAGGTGGACTGTTATTATATACGGATGATGAACAAGGAATTGGTGGTAGATTTTTAGAAATAAAATTATTATCCGATACACAATTACGTTTACGTATTGATGATAATTCTATGATACGAACGAAAAATTTAATTGAATTAAAACAACAACAAATTAATTTTACTGATGGTCAATGGCATCGTTTAGAGCTTATACATCATTATCAATTGCCAATCGTTAATGAAAACAATCATAATAATAATTTTATCAATGAAAATGTGATGATTAATTATGATGAACATTTTGAAACAATTACATTGAAAATTGATTCGGAAACGTATCGAAAAAATTTAGAATTATCAACCAATCGTATTGGTTATGGTGGTTTACAAACGAAACATCAATCAAAATCGGCTAATGATGATGAATGTCATCATAAACATAAAGCAGTTTTTATTGGTGGTATACCGGAAGAATATCGTCAACAAAATCTAGCACATCTTGCATTACCAACCGTTGCTTATGAGCTACATTTTCGTGGTGCTATTCGTAATGTACAATATTCATATCGTAATAAAATAAATCATCTTGATGATAATCAACAATCGAAAATCATTGTACAACAACAATTACCCGTTGCTAGTTATGGACTGTTTGGTGAATATTTTAATTCAAAACATGATTTAGAATGTGATCCAATACAAGATCGTTGTAAACATGGTGGTTATTGTTATACAACCAATAATGGTGTTTATTGTGATTGTTCAATCACTGATTTTGATGGTACTTATTGCCAGAATGGTAAGAGTAGGAATTTTTTTTTATTGATCATTTTTGTTTATTGATCATTTCGTTTATTTTATTGTATGATGATTGCTTCCATTCATTTTTTTCATATAGAAAAACGATTAGCCGAAGCAACATTCCATGGAAATTTAGGCGAATATTTAGGCTATAATTATATGGATCTACCAAATGCATGGTCATTAATTAGTATAAGAGAATCATTTGAATTATCATTTCGTACAAAAATTGCCAATGGTTTGCTACTGTTAACCAGTGATGAATATGAAGATTATTTAGCCATTACAATACGTGATGCTGGACTAACGTTGACAATGAAATTAGGCTCGAATGTTCATGAAAAAACAATTAAACCAAGTAAAGTACGTTTTGATGATAATCAATGGCATACAGTATTAGTTTGGCGTCGTATACGTGAAATATCACCATCAACTTATTTTTGTCATGTAAGATTGATTTGATTTGATTGATTGATTGATTGATTGAAAAGTGAAAATTCCAATTCTGATTTTTTTATTATTCTGAATTTAGTTTTCGATCAGCGTAGATGGAATTTATACACAATATGGATCAACCGCTAGTCCAATATCATATTTAATATCAAAAGTATTCTATGTTGGTGGTATTGCACATAATTCGGCTGTTGAAACATCTAATCCAATTACAACTAGCAGTAATTTTGTTGGATGTTTACGAAAGGTTTGTTGTTGTCATTGTGATGATTGAATTTTCAATTTAATCAATTTCTTTCCTGTCATTCAATCTAAACAAACACATATATAGACTATTTTGACAGCTGATAATGTACGATTAGATTTATTGGAAATTTTACAAAATGACAATTATAATTATGATACAAAACAACAACAACAACAAGAATCAACAATATTACAAAAAGATTGGCAATCAGATAGTTTAATTCGATTATATGGTGGTAATCATTCATTATCATCCATGATATGTGAAGATGTTGATATTTCAGATCCAATAACATTTACAACATCCGAGTCATATCTAAAATTAAATGGATGGAATTCACCAAAAGAAGGAACATTATCATTGAAAATTCGTACAAATGAACCAAATGGTGTATTGATTTATTCGGATGGAAAACCGGATAAAAATTCAACAAGAGATTATTTTGCACTGGAATTACTTGATGGACATTTATATTTATTAATGAATTTAGGATCCGCACCAGTTAAAGTTAAAGCAACAAATAAACGTATTGATGATAGTCATTGGCATATGATAACTGTTAGAAGATCCGAACGGAATGGACAAGTTGTTGTTGATGAAACAATTAGTGATTTTGTTTCACCTGGACAATCAAATCGTTTAGATTTAAGTGATTCAATTTATTTAGGTGGTATACCATTGTTTAGTGGACAACGATCAACAACAACAACATATACACCACCAGAATTATGGTCATCATCAATTGGTTATGGTTATATTGGTTGCGTAAAAGATTTATATCTAAATGATCATATTATTGATATAGCAACTTTGACAAAACGTCAAGATTCTGGTAGTATACGACCATCATGTCATTCACTTTCATCACAATGTAGCAATTCACCATGTCAAAATGATGGACATTGTATTGAAGGTTGGAATCGTTATTATTGTGATTGTACTGAAACATCTTATACTGGTTCTGTTTGTACAAAAAGTAAGCACAAACAAACAAGCTAAATAACCAATCTATCAACATTTCATCCAATGTTTTCAATTTTTCATTGTTTATTTTTATTACACAGATGCAGCAATAGTTAGTTTTAATGGTGAACAATATATAACAATTTTATTACCCGAAGAATTACAAACACAAGCTGAATCATTATCATTACGTTTTAAAACAAATAAACCAAATGGTTTATTATTAACAACATCACATTCATATTTAGATGATCATTTTATGATATTATCATTGGAATCTGGATCAATACGATTAGATTTTAATTATGGTGATCAACAAATGATGGAACGTATTATTATGATTGATCAAAAACTTAATGATAATCAATGGCATACAATACATTTAGAACGTCGTGGTCCTAATATAGAAATTTCTATTGATCAAAAAACTAAACAAGTTATTGAATTAACTGGACAACATTTTACATTACAAATTAGTGCTATACATATTGGTGCACGTTTGAACATACATAAATCTCGTCGTAAGTTGAAATTTTTGTTGATTGTTCAATACAATGTTTGATTCTTTTGTTTGATTTGATTCTTTTGTGTTTGATTAGAGAAAAAACATTTTACCGGTTTTATTGGTCAGATGCAAAATTTTGTATTCAATGGACAACAATATTTTGAAAAAATCCGTGATGGACAATTACCAAATGGATCGATTCGTATAACGGCAAAACTAGGGAAAAAAGATCGTATTCTACACAATGCAGTCACGTTCAAATCAAAATATACATTTGTCGGTCTACCACAATTGAAAGCATATTCTCGTTTGAATGTTTATTTTCAATTTAAAACTCGTGAACCAAATGGTTTATTATTATTCAATGGTGGTGGACAAAAACATGATTTTATTGCTGTCGAAATGGTTAATGGAAATATTCATTATATTTTCGATCTGGGTGATGGACCACGTCGATTACAATCAAATAATCGTCAATCATTAAATGATAATCATTGGCATACAGTTACATTAGGACGACCATCATTATATCAACATACAATGCTTATTGATGATTCTTTAATAACAATCAGTACATCAAACAGTGAAAGAAATTTACATCTAGATTTGGATGGACTTCTTTATATTGGTGGTGTACGAGATACAATGTGGCAATCATTACCGAAAATAATCAAATCTCGTATCGGTTTTGAAGGTTGTCTGGCATCATTAGATCTTAATGGTGAAACATTTAATCTTGTCGGTCAATCAGATGTTCTAATACCAAGTACATTGGTTGAATCGGGTTGTTCAACACCGATAACACGTTGTAGTTCAACTGCTTGTGCTAATCGTGGTATTTGTGTACAATTATGGAATAGTTATACTTGTGATTGTGATTTGACAACATTTTCCGGACCAACTTGCGCAGATGGTAATGGTAATGGTAGCACATCTAAATAGTTGATTTTTTTTCTTTTGATTTTCTAAAAATTAATTCTTTGATTTTTACTATCAAAATTACAGAAAGCACTGCATATCAATTTGGTCCGAATCCTGGTCTGATAAGTTTTACATTCGATGAAAATAATCGTCCAGATACAAGAAATGATCTTTTGGCATTAGGTTTTTTAACAACTTTAAAAGATGGTGCATTAGTACGTGTAGATTCAGCAACAACTGCTGATTATTTTCAATTAGAATTAATTGATGGAAATATTCTGGCTGTTTATAATTTGGGTACTGAAGATATTGATATTGGTGATTTGGGTATTAAAGTTAATGATGGTAAATATCATATTGTTCGATTTACACGTTCCGGTCAGAATTCAACATTACAAATTGATAATCATAATATTATAACACGGTCACCATCGGGAAAACAATTAAATATTTTTAATCGTCATGCTTTTATTCAAATTGGTGGACATAAAAATATTCTTCGTAATTCGATTGAAAAACCATTCATCGGTATTATTGCCGGTTTAGTTTTTAATGGTCATCGTCTTTTGGATATGGCTGCTGAAGATGATCCAAGAATTAAAACTGAAGGTGATTTAGAATTGATGATTTCGATTGGAAATCAACAAACATCAATGACATCTTTGGCTATGACTCCACCATCAACATCAAACAATGATCATTTAAATAATCAAATGTTGGCAGAGGTAATTTTTGCATAAAAATTTGGTGTTACCTAAATGACATGTTTATTGTTGTTTTTTCATTTAGCCAAAAAGTCCATATGCAAATGATGATCTTATTTATTCAAGTGCCGGTTCCGGTTGTTTTGATGTTAATGAAGATGAGGTAACGTATTAGTTAATGATTTATGCTTAGTTTGGAAACAAAACTCACTTTTATTCCCATTTACGATATATTAGGAATGTGCTCATATCGCCAATGAAGGATCCGGTGATGAACTGATTACACCTGTCTATGTTTCAGTGAATAGATTTCGTCCAACTCCGTCCTCATCATTTACGAATCGTAATCGTGGTAATAACGATAAAGATGTATGGCGTCGTCCTTGTCAAAATGAAGATGATGATGATTGTATGGAAGGTTCAGGTGATAAACCACCAACATCATTCAATAATAATAACCGTCAATATAATTATTCAAATTTTGATTATTATTCATCAACATCACGACCACAATGGATGACAACATGGATACCACCAACAATTGTACCAATTAATCGTCCACCATATTCCCCGAATCAACCACCACCATGGAATTCTTATAATACACCATCATCAACAAATTATGATCCATATGGTAATCATCAACAACAACATTATCCAATTCAAAGACCAAAAACAACAGCACCATCATGGACAAAACCAGTATATTCAGTAAATGGTCCACAACGTCCAATTATACAGCCACCATTAATTGAATCACAAGATCCACCTGAAATTTATGATGTACCATTAAATATTCCGTTAGATATTATTAATAATGATACAACAATTGGACAACAACCAACATCACCAGATGATCCAAATCAACAACAAATACCAACAGAAATATTAACACGTGCAAATTCTGAACGTACTGTGATTATAATTAGTGCAATAGCAATATTATTAATATTGGTTGTTGTTATTGGTCCAATTGTTTTATTCTTAAAAGTACGTTATAGTGCAAATCAATCTGCATATAAAATTGAAACATTTGGACCAAAAATGTCAGCAACAATGCCATTACATGGTTCATTATCATATCAACCATCATATAATCCTGTTGTACGAGCAACATCAGTAAGTGGTATTACTGGTCATACAATGTCAATGATGGGTATGATGCAACAACCAATGGCTCCCGGTGTTGGTATGAATACAATGAGTGGTAGAGTTAGTTTATCAAGACCTGGTACGAGGCCTGGTACACCAACACAAGATTATAATACTGGTGGTGGTTGTATGAAGAAAAAAGATCCACATGAATGGTACGTTTAAAAAGGGTTTAAAACAAAAAAATTCAATAAGCAATAATATTACCTGAGATTACAAACAAAACAAAAAACAAAGTACAATCATCATTTAATTAACAAACAATCAATGAAAAATAAGCTAACAAATCAATCAATCAATTCAAATCAAATCAACAAATTGCTGAACAAATCATTTAATCACTTCAATGTGCCTATCTCTTTCTTTCCTTCTCTATCTGTATCTTTCTTCTGTTTTTTTTGTTGTTGTTGACAAAATGACAAATTTCATTTCACATCATCATCATCAATGATAAACCCTTTTTTTTCTTATTTCTTATTCTTATACACACGTTTGTTCTGTCTTCTTTTTTTGCTCTGTCACTTTGATTTCAATTATTCAATCATAATTAATTTGTAAATATCCTAAATACTTATTTATCGTCAGTAATTTGTTTTTAAAATAAAAAAAAAAATTTTGCAAAATTTTTTTTAAGTGTCGACAAAAAACTTGGTTTATTGCAAAAAAAGAGATGGCACTGTCATCAATCATGGTCTTTTGGCTAATCAAATTAATCGAATTCACAAGTGGATGTGGTGCCATCTATTGTCGGAAAATTGATTGGAAAAAATTTGGAAAAAAATTTTTTCAAGAAATCTACCCGGGAAACAAAAAATACATTTTTGACGAACCAAAAAAACCGAAAAAAATTCATTGCAAATAACAGCACACAGCATATAATCATTGTCAAATAAACTTGAATAATAATTTTATACTTCTGCTTCTGCTGTTGTTGTTGTTGATATTTGATTCATTCAACTTTTTTTTTGGTTTGTTTTTTCACTTGAAATGATAATTTCAAGTGAAAAAAAATGTTTGTGTTTGGGTGTATGGTTGTTTGCATTTGTTCTTTTCATCCTCAGTGGTGTACTGAAACATAACAAACAAACAAACAAAAAGAAGACAAAAAGATCATAAAGTTATTTCGAAATAATAAAAAAAAATCGATAAAAATTGATTATTTTCAAATTAAAACATTGACAGAAAACAAAACAGAAAACCAGAAACCGAAAAGCCCGAATTGATAATGATGAAAATTACAATTGTTCTTTTTTCCGTTTTGAAGGAAAAAAATAATATAACCATGATGAAACGGAAATGTACCAGAAACTTTCCGGGAAAAAAAAAGTTTTTTGTTTTGTTTGTGTTTTTCAAAACAAAACAAAAAACTTTTTCATTTTGTTGTTGTTTTTATCCTTAACCAAAATGTACTTACCCCCCCCCAAAAAAACTGAATTATTTGTTTAATTAAAATACAAAAATAAAAAAATAAAAAAACAAAATCCAGAATCCAGAATTCAAATCAGAATCCAGAATCCAGAATTCAATTTTAATTTTTAATCTCTTAATTAATTGAACATTGTTTGTTTGATTTTTTATTTTCTGGTTTCTGGTGTTTCTGTGTACTGTATTTATTAGATTCTCACTGTGTGTGTGATTCCTGTGATGTACATTATTGAGAAATGAATAAACCAGAAAAATCAGAGAGTGAAAATCAGCAAATGCAAATAATCCTGATCAACAAACTTGATTCTACCATCAGAAAAAAACACAATCATCATCTGATTCTTCATGATTCCGATTCTGGTGATGTGTAGACCAGATAATCAATTAGCAGAATAGAAAAATACAAAACGAGGCGAAACGAAATTTATGTAATCCCCGGATATTCAAACATAAACATAAACTACACTAAACTAGTTTAGCCCGAAACCGAATTTCCGTTTTTATTGTTTGCTTGGGCAAAATGGATATCAATGAAGCAAAACAGGACAAAAAAATACCTTTTTTTTGTACCTGATCTGACAATGATCCACAAAACAAACAAACAAAAACAGCCATATAATAATTTTATTTTGACAAATGACATTCTCAGTGGAGATTCTCTCAGTAAGTTTCTTTTGTTTCGTATTTCCTTTTTGCTTTTTCTTTTTTGCTTTCCTGTGTGTGTGTATCCCATGTCTTTTTGTTACCCAAATGAACACACACACCTTCGACACCTTTTTCATTTTTTTCTTTTTGAAAAAAAAGGAAAAAAAAGAATCATTTTTTTTATTAGGCCATTGCCCATGATCATGAAATACACTGTACTGAAAAATCATTGTTAACAATGATGATGATGATGATGGAAAAAATAGAATCGTTTATCAAACGATAAAGAAGAAGAAAAATACATTTTGCGCATCGGTAACAACGTAAGGTAACTTTTTTTACTTTTGGTTTTTCATCATTATTCACTGTGTTCATCTCTGATTCAGATGATGATAAATAAAATAATATTTTTGTTTGAAGAATTTCTTCGAGAAAATGACGATGATGTTATATAATAACCAAAGAATATTCTTGTTGCGCGTGCGCATTTATATTTTGCATTTGAAACATGTGGTTCACATGAATTTTCATCTCATTTTGTTTTTTGATTGTTCAGTTCAGTGTGTGTGAAGCAACTTTGCAGCGCACAGTGTTTCATTTCAAAATAACAACATTTTCCGATTCTGTTTTTTTACAGAATATTCTGCTGTTTTCAATCAAAGAACATGATGATGATGACGGAATTCCAGCGAAAAAAAAAATGAAAATTTCAATGTTTTTTTTCCAGTGATTTGATGAGAAAACAACAACAATGAAAAAAATTCCTTTTTGATGGTGCACCGTGTTATTATCGTTGTTTTTTTTCTGGAAAAAATGTCGATTTTGTTGCTGTTGTTGTTGTGAAAATCGTTTTACGCGGAACCGAAACAAAAAAATTCAATCAATGTCAAAATAGTGTCATAGGAATGAATGAATGAATGAAACGCCCTAGAAGTGGACATCATCGACGATTAAAAAATATCTTTTGATTGACACAAACAAACATGTAAATAATATATGCCCGTTTCTGCTTGTTTGTAATGTAAGTTTTTCAAAAAAAAATTGAAATTTTTTTCAAAACAAAAAAAGCCAAATTGGGCCATGACAGTCAAAATAGCCGAAATTTTTTCATTTACTTGTCTGCTTCCTCAACATTTCAAATTCAGAGAATCTTTACGGAAAAATTGACTTTGACGTTTCGAGAATCTCAGTTTCTGTGTTTGTTTGATTAATCCATTTGATTTTCACCCAAAATAAAATCACAAATTGAAAGAATATCTTTTGAATAAGATTGTTTGTTTGTTTGTTTTTGCAAAGATTTTTTTTCTGTTTACTCAAACAAAAACAAAAAAATTTCATCGTTATCGTTGTTGTTGTTGTTAGCAACGTCAAAAAATTCTGTTTGATCCATTTAGTCCTGATTGTTGATTGAAGAATCGATTAATGTTTTCTCTGTCTGTCTTTTTTTTTGTTTTAACACACAACTTGGATGTCTGGGTGATTTTTTTTTTGGTTATTTGAATTTCGCTCTTTTACACTTTTGGCTCATTTTGTTTGATTGGCCTGAAATCATTGGCAAATTTCCGGAAATTTTCTGGAAATAAATTAAATTTTTTTTTGATTGGTTGGTTGTCAGTTTTTTTCTTCAAATTCAATTTTCTCTTTCAAAAAAAATAAAAACATCAAAAAAAAAACATCAAAATTGAAAAAAAATAATCAAAAATTCAAATTTGTAACGAAAAATCTTTCAAACAAAAAGAAAATTGTTTTCATAAATTTTTCTTCAAAATTGTTGCCAAAGAAAATTAACTATACCATTATGATTGACATAAATTAAACAACAACCGTAATTTCTCTTTGTTTCTCTTTGTTTTTTTGTTTATTTATCAAATTTTGCATTCGTAATAGTAATGAAAATAAGCAATACACACACACACAGTAAATGAAAGTGTAGCAAACTTTTTTGTTTTGTTTTGTTTTCAATAATCATTAACTATTCATTAATATTATTTATTTATCGATGATAATGATAGGCAGTTTGCAGGCTAATGAAAATTCATCAATAAGTCCGATAATAATAACTACCATCACTGTGCCTAACAATAGAAAACCAAACGAATGAAAAACCCCAAAAAACATGAAAAATCCACACACAAATGAAAAAATCGATCAATCGATTAATTATAAATATTTTTCTCTTGGTCTTTCTTCTGTCCAATTATATAACCAAAAAAAAAGCAAGAAAAACAAAAGTTTGCAATAAAAACTCTCTAGATTTGTGTGTGTGTGTATATGTGTTATTTGTCATTAAAAACTAAAAAGAAATATGATTTTTTCCCCTTGTCCACTGTTTGTTGTTGTTTGTTGGTGGTGATCATTATTTTCGATCAATTAATTTTCATCATCATCATCATCATCATGATTATCATTAAACCAAACTGCCCACCACCATCAAAAAATAACCGTATTGGTCAATCGATCGATCGACAGAAATGATGATTAATTTAGCTTTTGGGTATTCTTTGGTTGCTAGTTGTTGGTGGTGTATAAGGAGGTCAACAACGAAAACATCGACAACTAGCGAAAAACACTCCATGGAGAAAAAAAGAAGTGTCGAAAATTTGGAATTTTCACATCGATAGATTCATGATTTATGAATGATAATGATGATGATGATGACAAATCCTGGTTGAAAAAAGCGAGAAAAAATCCATGGCCAATTTTCAGAAAACCAGAAACCAGAAAAATGATAAATTTTAATTCATTTTTGTTTTTCAAAAAAAAATATTTTTCGAAAAACAAAAAAAAAACTTTCTGGATTTTCTAATTTTGATGTAAACAATATTCCTTGGAAAGTTTTTGCTGTTGTTGTTGTTCACTACTATTCAATATTGAAAATGTAATGAGTTTTTCCTTTTGGCTTTCAATGGCTTTCAAGTTTGTCAAACTTTTTCCAAAAATACAGATCAAATATTGATGATGAATGAATGAATGAACTTGTTTTACTTTCACTGAAAGTAAATGAATATATTACCATCATCACTTTTTCACTTGTTTTCCCAGCTGAGAATTCAATATTTATAATCATTAAATGAATTTATTCTGAAAGAGAGAATATTCTTTCAACACTGAAACACTCGCTGAATGAATGAAAGTGAAACAAAACAAAACAACAGCCCGAA